CAAAGACGGGAGCAGGAAGATGGAGAGTTCAAGACTAGCCTTGTGCATAGATAAATGAAATAAAGAAGTACTTTATGAGTGATAATTAAATTTATTATATATAAATGCATAGGAGAATATGTACATAGGTGTGTGTGTGTGTGTGTGTGCGTGCACCTAAGATAAATTGCTTAACAAACACTCCAGGGTGTTTAGGCCAGTTAGCATTATAGTTTGTGAAATCGAGCAGGTTCAGTGTCAAAATAGCTCTGGCATTGACCTGGGAAACTAGCCCTTGTTCACAGTATTGTTTCTGAGACAAATGAAATCCTCATGTGTTTCCAGATGAATGTTTACATCGAAATGTAGCCTTGATTTAAGCACAGCCTGTACTTTCCCAGATGCCCCATGCTGAGTCTTGAATATTCTTTTTATAACGTCTATGGATCATTTCCCTGGACTGGCAGGAAAAAGCTCAGCCTAGAAGGCTTCCCTTTCCCTTTTAGCCGGTGACATCTGTGAACAGAGCCTGCACTCCACTATTCCAGACCTTGGCAGAGTGCATCAATTACTTTTTCCCTGATAATTTCATCAGTAGGTGGGGCGGGCGTTTAGCATGTTAAAACCAGGGCTAACCCTGGAACCTGAAGCATGCTAGACGTGGCCCGAAGTCCTGCAGTTCTTCACTGTCTTCCTTTCATCTGAAACATAAGCAGCCCTCTGCACCAAAGTATGAAGAAAGGAGCTGACTGTTAGCACAGTGCTAGTCCCCCTCCATCCACAATGGAGCCACAATCTCTTCACAATCTCCATTAAGACACAGAATGGGGCTGAAGAGATGGTTCAGCAGTAAGAGCACCAGCTGCTCTTCCAGAGAACCCGGCTTTGATTCCTAGGGCCCAACACATAGTTTACAATGGCCTTAACTCTGGTTCCAAAGGTTTAGACACACTCTCCTGGCTTCCTTGTTGTATCCAAGTGTCCATACATTATAAAATAATACAATAAAATTTAGCTAAATGAATCATAAAGCAATGTAGATAAACTAGAACCCACTCGATGGTGAAATCCTCCAAAGAAGCAGCCACGTTTCTCCTTGGGGGAGAGCACCTGGATAGAATGGGGAATGTGGTTAGCGTAGGGAAAGGATTTATGTGTTAAAGATGTGTGTAAGCAGTAAAAGGGAACAAAGTCTGGCAGGAGAGAAATGCAGAGGGCAGGGCTTAGAGAAAGAGAGAGTTCTCTCTCCGCTTTTGATGCTTGCTGGGTCAGAAGAGGCAGAAAAACATCTTGGTTTGAGAAAGAATCCAGGGCCAATCTGCTGCTAAGAAGTCAAGCGGAGCTCCTTGAGCTTCAAGTCCTTCGCCCTCAAGGGACGTCGTAAGCGTGAGATGACAGGCAGAAGCAATGCCCATGCTTTAGGGAGAAGCAGAGATGAAATGAGTGGAAGCTGCACTGCAGAGAAAGCAGAGAGCCCCTAGGAAGACTTGCTTTGGGGACGGTTTTCCTAACACAGCTGGGCCTCGGATGCATCAAGCATTCTACTCTCCAGCTGCAGATAGCTGAAGGAATAATTTATGCTCTCAGAGAAGGGCAGGCATGATTTCTTGAATGCTGACACTGAATTTTCTCCTGAAGCATTGCCTCGGCTAGGGGAACGAAGAGGGAGATTGTTAGGAAATAAGGATTTGATCATCTCCACTAGAACCCTTGGGGACCAGATGCTCCCAGTGCCAAAATCATCCCTGCTACCCAGACATCTCCGGAAGTCATCCGGTTCCCAACTCCAGTTACAGTGATGTGAAGGGACAGCCCTCTGCATTTTATACCCTGTTTTGGGTCACAGCAGAGGGTCGTGTCTTGGTGATATAAGGTTCCTCTAGATGTAAATCCTACATGGGTCATTCTGAAGCTTTGGTGTCCAAGACTTCATCATGGCAGGGGGATGTTTTCCTTTTTCTTATCAGCGACACACACATTCTTGCTGTTTCCCCCGGCAGGATGTACTTTATCTGAACACCAGAAGATGAATGTGACAGTTCATGACAGTTTGTCAAACAAGGACCAAGGCGAGCCGGGGCTTGGGGGGCTTGGGAGGGAGCAGGATGAACAGGTGGCACTCAGATTTTTAGGGCAATAGAACCAGTCTTCTGAGTGCCGCCATATTGTGTGGCAAAGGTCATCATCTGTTTGTCAATCCCTATAGGAGAACCAACACCCAGAGTGAGTCGGGTGTTGATGGTGAACCTCCACTAAAGATGATGTTAGTTAATGCTAGTCCATCAAGACACCTGGATAGAATGGGGACCTGGCTTCTGAAGGGACCGTGTTTGTATAGGATAAGGACTGGTGTGTTAAAGATGTGTCTAAACAATGACTGAGAACAGGAGAGGCATGCAGAGGTGGAGTTAGCAGAGAGGCAGCACACCATATCCCTCTTCCCTTTGGGTGATGGCTGGGTGAGAAAAGACAGGAAACCCTTGTTCTCTCTACACCTGTACTTTAGGTCAGGGGGGCATTGAGCATTCAAGAGTCCTCTCTACTTATTGTGGACGTGTTTTTGTTGCTTGCTGCTCCTTTTTAGATGTGTGTGAGCCAGCAAACTCATTGGTAAAGTACCTTAGCACCCAGTCTGGGCTCCTGAGCTCAGGGGTGAAGGGATTAGGGATATGGGTTCCTTTTCAGTGGAGGAGCAGGAGCCACAATCCACTTTTCAGGTTCTGAAAACACACAGTGAAGAAAATCTCACGACTGTATGTGCTATGGTGAGTGGTTGTCAAAGGAAGCCCCACACCTACAGACTGACAAATCGGTCACAGGCACACGGTCAATACCAACCACTTTATTCTGCAGCACATAAGGCTCAGCTTCCTCTGTGGGTTAAAAGGAAAAGAATCCTAAAATTGCTGTATGTTTAGTCTGCTTCTAATAACTGCCAACACTCAGTGAGAGGCCAAAACACAAGGAACCGGTAGAATGTCAGAGGGAAATTCACATGCTCTCAATGTCAGCAGGAGACAAAATCACCAGCAGAATTCAAGTTTCCTGCCTAGGACACAGAAAACCACCCAATACATGAATACTAAACAGATGAAGATTTTTGTATTCCAAAGAGTATACATGTCAGGAGTGAGGGTGGAGCTAGGTGATTGATAGGACTGGCTTAGTGGGTCTGAGGCACTGGGTTCAATTCCCAGAGGGAGAAAGGGGAGAGAGAATTGAGAAAAGGTGGGGGGTGGAAAGGGACAGAATGAGAAGAGAGAAGGGGGAAAACCTTATGTGCCTGAGTGTCTTAAATGCTAACAAAAACCAGACAAGATCTTTAGGCCCACAGCAATCTCTGTAGCATTTCCTCAGATCTGTCTCCACAGAGAATTCTGATGAAAATATGAATGAGTGTGTGTGTGAGTGAGTGTGTGTGTGTGTGTGTGTGTGTGTGTGAGAGAGAGAGAGAGAGAGAGAGAGAGAGAGAGAGGAGAGAGAGAGAGAGAGAGAGAGAGAGAGAGGATGTGCGTGTGTTATGTTCAAGTACATAGACAGGCGGAGGACATTGGGTGTCATCTTTCTTCATACTCCCCTGCTTTCTTTCTTTCCTTTTTTATTTTTGACTTTTGGACGCAGGGTCTATTATTGAACCAGAAGCTCACCATTTTGGCTAGGCTGGCCAGAAAGTTCCTACATCTGCCTTTCTTTCTCTGCCCACCCCCCACATTAGCTTACCATGGACACGACCTTGGGAAAGCCAGTGTGCTCGTAGTTTTCAGATTGGAAGGCACTTGGGATTTCAAACTTCTGGATGAAAGGTGTTCAACTAGGAATGTCTACACACATATTCCAGACTCTCATCTGAAACAGTTAGGGTCCCAGCCACGCCACATTAGGGATGCTTAGACTGTCTTTGCGTTCTTCCTGCTACCAACAGCATTAGGGATGAAAGTCTGGCACTTCTCCTTCTTGGTACCTCAGAGAGGAGAACACACCTCCATCATTCCTGAAAATTCAGTTGACTTAATTGTTTAAAAAATCTAGCTCATTATACTGACCTGGCAGCAAATACTTAGAATCCCAATTCTCAGGAGGCTCAGACAGGAGGATTACAGGTTCAACACTAACTGATTCCCACAGGTCTCTGATGGCCATGGACGTCATGGTAAACCTGCCCTGCTCATCTTAGCACACATGAACATACACACTACATGAATGAGTGAAAGATAAATGAGTATAAAAAATAAAATCTAGAATATTCATTTAGAAAACTAATAGGACGAAATTGGGGGAAAAAATAAGTCTGAAGAAACCCATTGCCATATCATTGTATTTCATTACGGGACAAAATTTGAAAATTCTTCTAAATAAGAATTTAGTGATAACCTGTATCACTGAAATTATGGACACTTAATAAAACAAAATAGCAAATCACTTTCGTAAAGAGATGAGAACTTGTCAGGCTATGGTGGCACATGCCTTTAATCCCAGCCCTTGAAGGGGGTAGAGGCAGACGGATCTCTGTGAGTTCAAGGCCAGCCTGGTCTACAGAGCAGAGTTCCAGAACAGGCTCCAAATGCTACACTGAGAAACTCTGGAGGGAGGGGGGGGAGTGAGTTGAGAACTTACTAGATCACCCAGTCTTACTCCCTGGGACCTTTGTCCTGGACACAGGAGGTGTCCAAAACTGGGCGAGCCAGCTTCTATTCTGAGAGGATGTATATAGAGTGACGTTGACTTTTACTTAGTAGAACCTTCCTTCCAACTCTCACTGGGCCAAGACCGACCTTTTTAATTCCTTTCCAGAATAAGAGTCCGTAGAGTAGGAAGAAGGTCCACAGGAAACTGGACACGCCCCCTACAACTGGCTTTTCTGCCTCCACATTGGCTAACAAGCATTTAATTATCTGCACCACTAACATGCAACACAATCTACTCAAAAGACCGCTGAAAATGACTGCATGGGACATGAGGGTCTAACACCGGACTCCAGCGTGTCATTTTCTAAACCTCGTCCGTGTTTCTTTCTCTTGCAGAGCGACGGGCTTTGGCTTCTTGAATGCGCTCTGTAAAGCTGCGGCAGTCCTGGGAAACCTAATATTCGGCTCCTTGGTCAGCATTACCAAAGCAATCCCCATCCTGCTGGCTTCCACCGTGCTTGTGTGTGGCGGACTCGTGGGGTTGCGCCTACCCGACACACGAACCCAGGTTCTGATGTAAAGGAACAAAAGCCATCTCTTCCCACCATGGGTCAGTCCTCCTGCCTGACTCAAGGCTGCAGGGGTTTTTGTGTGTAGAAAGGCGGCCGAGTAGCAGAACACAAACTTTTGCTGTGACGTAAAGAGTAGCTGTGTGTGTGTTGTCTTGCCCCTCCAATGTGACTTTGCACTGTTTTGTTTTTTCCAGGCATTGTTATCTTTTCCTAACTGTGATACTCCTGCCTCCCCGTGTCCCGTGGAAGTGTTCCTAAAATGTCCCAGTCAGTCAGGCCTTCCTGGGGATTCTGATCACTGACACTGAGAAGCTAAAAAGCCTGTTCTGGCCTAAGAAATAGACCCTGCCCCTGACGTGTCACTAACAGGAAGTTCAAGCTGGCATAATTGAGTTTGTGCTGAGGAAAGGGATTTCTTTTTTCTTTTTCTTTTCCATACAGAATGATGTTTCCTGTTTACTTAGAAAAAAAGGACACCCAGACACTCTAGCTGTTACAGCAGGGTGTTTCAAAAACATTGTGTGACCCCAAGCATGCCTGAGTGGGGCTCTTTCAGGCAGAACAGTCAAGGTGACTCTTCTAACAACAAAAATTTAAAGTCTGACCCCAGATGGCAACAAAAGCCTGCTTGAGCTGCAGAAACCAGATTTTAGATGGAAGAGCCCTGATACATGCGAGGGCTGCAGCCCCCACAGTATCTGTGACTTGGCAGGTGGATCGCAGTGTTTGAAGATCAGAGATCCTCCACCCTCTTTGCATTCCTTCCCAAGCTGCCCCAGAATTGGCCAGAAAGCAGATGCAGGGAAAGAAAGCCTCTTCTTAAAATGTCACATCTGCCTCTTGAATTCTGTTAACACTTTTCTCGTCTCTGGTCCAGTGATTGACAGTAGAAATTAGAAACTGGCAAGAAATTCACAACCAAAGCCATTTGGAAATGCCAAAGGGTGTTTCTCTCAGTGCTGTTTCTTGAGGGTCAAAACCATCCTCTCTCCCTTGGTTAGCTGTCCACTGTCACTGTTTAATCCCCCCATCTCCACAGCAGGTCCTGTCCCTCCAGCTTTCCCCAGCTATGGGCACCCAGCCTTGTCTGAGCCCAGCCTTGTCTCTGGGTTGCCCCCCTTCTCTCCCAAGCAACCCTCCGGCAGGCTGGACAGCATCTTCTGGTGGATGTCTGTCTGTTTTACCTCTGGAATCTTCATGAGCGTGGAAGGAGAGGTCAGCGGGACGTTCCCACGGGCCAGCTGTCAACTAAATGACCTTCTGGTCTCTCACTGACTGCCCCTCCCCCAAGCCCATTCTTTCATCCATCTTTGAAATCTGAAGGCTTCTTGTAGATGCACGGCCTGTGACAACAGCCAGTATACATCCCATATTTAAATGGCCTTCTCTCTTTAACTCCCTCTGCCTTGTTGGAGGGTGATCATTGTTGCTTCTTTCCTGCTATTCCTGCATGGCCACGGCCCTGGAGCTTCCAGAAAAGAGAAATGTTTGTTCCCACTAATCATTCCATTCAAAGATGGCCCTGCTCCCTGGAGGCCCGCTGTCTCCCCTCCTTTGCAACATTCCCTGATCCCTCCTGGAGCTCAAGTTCTGTGAAAAGCTCTTTGATTAACATAAGCCATTAATCCACTGTCCCCAACAAGTAAGTCTGGCTTGGTGGAGGGGACAGCCTAGAGTTAAGATGGAAAGTCTCAGAGAGTAGTTCCCTGGAGATAATTTAGATACTCCGAGCCAGGACACCAAGGATATCAGAACAAAATCTGCAAAGGTGCCAGAAAAAGGAAAACCTTTAAGATTAGGCATGGCTGCTTTGAAAGACACCCACAAAGCAGGGACCAGAACAGAATTCACTTCTGTTTCCTTTTCCATCCCTGGGAAACAAATGCATATTTTAAAAATCTCAGAAAGTATTTTTCGCATTATTCGTTGTCCATGTGGGTTTGGTTCCCCCTCCTAGTTACACGTGATTTGTCTTCTTTTAAAAAGGCGGGGGAGGGGCATGTTTGGGACTTAGAGCAGATCTTTTGGATGAATGAGGCCTGTAAAGGCAATGCTACAAAAGTAAAATATGAATCTCTTCTCTTCCCACACAAAGGAAAAACCGACTTATACAAACGCATTGCTTTTTCAACCCTCAAGTGGTAGTGAACTTACTGCATAATCAAATTGCCTCTATTCTCTGTCTTATAGTCTAACTACATCAAGTACATTCCAAACTGCAAGACACAGTTATGCAGAATTTTATCTGGATGCTGGGTTGGGTCAGCATGAGATAACCCAGCAGAACCTTGCTTTGTAAGACCATCTGCCATCATCTCCTTCAGAAGAACTATTCTTGTCCATCTACCCCCAAGCTTCCCAGGTGGCCCAAGAGGGATCTCTTCTAATCTCCTGGACAATCAGTGGTCACAAACCTTCTTGGTCACCACCTTTCCCACCTTCCATGTTTTTTTTTCCTCAGCCTTTTCACTGTGCATCACCTTTATTGTCCATGACAACGTCCTCGTTTCTTCCCAAGTATGTGGTACGGCTTGTTTAGGTTTAATTAGAGATTACGATGGAATCATAAGAGTCAACCGAAGCCCCCGTTAAATGAGTGTTAGATGGCAAACATCTGCCTTCCCATTTCATATACAGCAAAAGGAAACTGAAAGCTTATTCAAAAATCAGAGGGAACAGCACCACCTATACCTGTTTTTGGAACTCTGTTTCTAAGATTTTCCCCATTGCTCTTCAGAATCAGTCCAGAGTGTTCCCCAGTTTTACCATCACCGATTCCTCTCAATATGAAAGAAAGCAAAACAATCAATAGCGAATCAGCTGCTCGGCACAGTGACTCCTCTAAGATACTCCACTCTACATACTGGGTCTCAAGGCTCACACTCAGTCCTGCTTCCTGATCCATCTCACTCCTGAGTACTAACCCAAGACACAGTATCAATAGGGGCAGAGATCTTTCTGGGGCGAATCCATATGATCTTATCCAAAAGGTCAAGAATTAAGTCACTGGACATATTGGTCCTCAGTTCCCCCATCTGTAGAGAAAAAGGATGACTATTTTATTCTCCAAGATTCTATGGGATGAAAATGAGAGTAGCTTCTTCTTATCTGTCTTCTACCAATGGGAAGCCCACCTTAGCGACCTTCTGAAAATGAGACAATAACCAAGTCTATAAGGAGAGCAGGAGTTGGCTTGGGAAGACCTCATATCACAGGCTAGGACAGTCTTCATGTTGTCTGTGCTGCCCACACCTGGGGATTTGAAATGTAGCTCATTTCGGTGCCCCTCTTACTGCCATTGCCACCCACTCAGGAAATGCACAACCCCGGAAGACACACTACAGTTAGAAAACAACCTGATGGAGGTGGACCCACAAAGGCTGTATCCTCCAGCCCCATCCTTCTACTTCACTGTTTTCTTGAAATTACCTTAAATGGATGTAGGCCATCAGGAACAATGTTTCTCGACGACTTGGCATAAATTGGTAGATGGACGCTCCTTTATAAATCTCACCAATCAGAGCTCAAGTTTGCACAAAAAAAAAACTTATTTTTTTTAAAAATATCTTCAGGCATCGAGGGAGGGGCAGTGGGAGGCGTGGTGATGGCGGGAGAGTCCAGTGTTCTATCAATAATCAATAGGGTTCTAGTGCAATAGGATTAGTGCACCTGGAGACATTCTAAACTCCAGGATTGTTTCCAGAGCATTCCATGAGAATACTTTCTGATGTCTTCTGCCAACCAAAATAGAACATGATATTCTCTAGTTTGCTTCTATCTTATATCAAACAGGCTTTTACCTATTTCTTCATCAAGATGCCTTATTTGTTCATATACAAAAGGCCCCGAAGCCAGGAATGTCTGGATTTGACCTTCACCTGGAATTGTAGACAACTGACCTATTGTTTGGGGCCTAGTGGCTGTATATCAGGTTTCTTTAAATCCCATATTGTGCCAAACTTAGACTAGTTACCAGTCACCCCTCACCCCCTAAAAAAAGTCATGCAGAGACAGCAAAAGCACATCTACACGGCAGAGCGCCCTGAAGTGGCCTGTGTGCTCCCTCACGTTCTTCTCCTGTCGAGCAAAGTGTCTACTTTAGCTAAAATGTCTCCTGTAATCTGACAGAAGGAAGTGGTCAAGCTCTTAGATGCATTGCGTGTCCTTTCCCTGTGTCAGGAAGCTAGCGATTCTCTGTGTACTGTGCTGTGGCTTTCACTATTGGCCACGCCCCTGTCAACAACCTCTCACCAACCACAGGCACGCCTTTGCCAGGGCTTCCTTCCACTTTTCTTGGCTCCCAGGTGCGGTTTAGCTGTCCCAGCAGTTTGAGCCTCAGGGTAGGCAGTCTGTGGGTCTGCTTGGGTCTTTGACTGAAGTGGGTGGAGCTGGGAGAGAAGAGAGTTGGGTAGATGGGCCCGTCTCTCCTTTCACGAGTGTATTGGCTAAGTACTGGCTTACCATTGTTCTAGGTGCTGCGTGCGGATACTTAACCCTCTGCAGTATTTCTTTGAGATCAGGGAGAGCCAGGAGAATGACAAGCCAATCCCATATCTTCTCACATTTCGTGTTAGGCCTCTGTCAATGTCTTCGGTCTCTAAGTTTTACACAAGTTATAGCCCACAACAGGTGGTACAAGGGCTATGCAGTGCCGGGGTGACGCGTGACAGAGGAAAAGCTTCTTCTTTAGCCGGTCTTTGGGGGAGGGAGTACTAAGCAGTCCTGGGAACACAAGACACGTTCATGCATGTGTTTCTTCACAGGATCTCAATGGGAAATTGCACTAAGCTATCATATAAAGAAGAGAGCTTTTCTAGAGCTGTTCGTTTCTGCACAACAGTTCATTCCAGGGAGCTAGGAAGTAAGTGTGTTCCCCTCTGGGCATGCTAGGGCTCTCTCTCTCCAGGGCCTCAGCAAGTCCTGTCAGCTGGCTGCTGATCTCTGGCCTCTCCTCCCACCCTCTCAGGGGGTGTTTCCTTTCTGGTGTTAGAGATTCCTGACAGAGTCACACAGTCTTGGGGACATCCGAAAGCGAAAGCAACTTTCCCCTTCTCTAGCCTCAGCAGAAAGCAGGTTGTGACCACAGCAGGCCATGGAGATTATAGGCTACAATTTAAAATGGAGTGTGGGGTTGTTGCAGAGGATCTTGGGGGCTCTGGAGCCTTCAAGTAGGCAAGGCAAAGAGAGAGTGTAGTCACTGGCCCTCTGAGAGCCATGGGTGCCTTTCCCCTCATCTCTATGTCCTCTGGGCAGCTCATGTTCACTTTCGTTCTTTCATTAATCTTTCTTCTTCGGTCTTCTTTTCCCCTCTTCACCCTAGCAGCATCCAAGGTGAGGGTAAGCTTTCCCAAAGCACCAGGACTCAGGAATGGATATGTCCTTACCTTTCTGGAACACAGAGGATGGAGAACCTGGTTAGAAAGGAGTGTAGTGACAATGGTGCTGGATCCATGGGCCCCCTGGAAAGGTTTAGATTTCTGATGTCCTCCTAGTCCTACACCCTAATAAGATCAGCAGAGAACCAGAGGGTCAGAAGACATCCCTTGGCTTCCAAAAGAAGCATTCCTCTCCAGGAGCATGGCATGCTGTGAGAAATCCCCACTCAGTACTGGAGGTCAGGTGCTTAAACCACAAAGGTTGCCCATCTTCTGCCCGCCCTACCATATTTGCATGCCCCCTGGAGCCAAGAGCATCCAGAACTAAAAGGAGACAAGATCTTTCTATCTTTGGTTCAGACTCAGGTAAGTTTTTATGCAGCAAGGATATAGAGCCCTAAGCCGCTGCTTCCAGGCACTCTTGAGAAGGACTGGCCAGCCAGGACATAAGGGGCAGTGACGTCTAAATCCAGCCAAGGCTGGGGACAGGCTCAACCCAGTTCTTTGGAGTCAGTTGTTTAAGCTTCAGAGATTTTAAGAAAGCCAGTCAAGAAATATAGCCATCATTAAAAGTTAAATACAATTAAATCAGTTATATTTTTAAAGCAATACATATTTAAAACTCATCACTTTCTACTTATTTTGCTACATTTTTCTATTAGCCATGCCCTTGAGGTAATATATGCCTAGTATACCTCTATACCTCTATTATGGAAGTACTATGGAACGATGTTTTATTGGATGTATATTCTTGATGACAGGGTCAATGACATTATACTAAGTTCATCCACATTTACAGCAAGCAAAGAAACAAATGCTTTAGGTCAGACTCCTCCTACCCCTACAATAACCCCAGGCACTGGTAACCATTTACCATCATATCACTACCTGAAGCCCTGAAGAATACCTGGCTTCCTGCAACTCAGCAGGAGTGTGCTTTGCTAGCCCACACAGGGCCCTGGGTTCACAGAGGTCGGGAGGTGGGGGAAGGGGAGGGGAAGGTTGGGCCTCCCAAGGTACAGACCCAGGCCCTTGGGCTTTTATTACCCATGAGTCCAAGGGAAGGAAACATTTAGCAAGTACTCATGCCAGTTCTCAAAGGCGTCCTTCCACATCCATATTGGCTCAGAATAGGACCAGCCATGCGAAGAACACCATGCTGGTGTTTCTTCAAGGAAATCAGCTGCTAAGTGCGCATTCCCAAATGTGGTTGTATATTCTCCGCCTGACCCAGGAGCACACTGAACGGACTGTGAGCTCTTTATCGGTGTCTTAAAAGGGAATCCCTAGAACAGGGTCCTTCCAGGCACGCTTCCACCTAGGTTGCCTGCTCAGCCTACAACTCCGCCACTCTGCTTTTGGCAATGAGATCTGGCAGTGGTCCTGTCCTTGGTCAGGGTGTATGGGTGTTTTGGCTTTGTAGTCTTTCCCTTTTCTCTTTTCGGAGCTGTGTCTGCTGTCCCGCTGTTTGGTCCAGTCCCCCTTGTTGCATGTGTGATCCTCCGTAACTCCCCTTCCGGGTTTCTGGAGCCCCCTTCTCGAGTTCAGCTGATCCTGCCGTGAACACATCTTTCTGGTATGCTCCTCTGTGTCTCATTTCTGATTGCCAAAATGTTGGGCCAAGTGTATTTTCACAAATGTCCCAAGACAGTCATGTGTGTATCCTTGTGAAAGGGCATGCTCCATGTGGGATGGCTTGTGTACAGCGTAAATCTATCACATGTGAAAGTGTGTATACATTTATATGCCAGATAGCTATCGTTCATGTAACAGCTACAAAGATATTTAATGTACATCAGATGAATAAAAGAGCATTTTTTGCTCCATTATATTCAAATAAAGATTGCTGTGTGGCTGCCTTTCCTTCCAGACAAACAACCATCAAGGCACATCTTTTGCTGGGTGTGGTGGGGCAAGCTTGTGATCTCAGCGTTCAAGAGGCTGAAGGAAGAGGATTGTGAGTTTGAGGACAACCTGGGTAACATAGAGAAACCCTGTCCTAGGGAGGGGGAAGGAGCAAAACAAAAGAACTAATATGAACCACATTATGTCTTTGGACCTAGAGAAAGCCAGTTCCTCTGGTGCGGGCCAGTTTTAGTTGCGTTTGTAGGCTGGTTCCATGGATACTGTTGTGTTGTTGATTTTACAGGAATACTTTCTAATGGTTACCTAGGGCCACTGTGAAGAAAATGCTTGGGGGGAGTGGGGGGTGGTGGTGGTGAGACAGATGCTTGTGTTATTTTACCCTAAAGCAAGAACAGTTAACAGATTTCTATGCACACATCACCTCCAATTAATTGATATTGACTGTTAGAACATTCATTTGAGAACAATGAGGGGAGAGAAGCTATATTTGACTATGTTCAAATTAGAGGCAGAAGCAAAGACTACAAAAGCTCGTATTTACTGTTCCCCAAAGAAGACTTTACTGGTTTTAACACAAGATCCATGTTTTCCCCTTGTTCTTCTTTAATCTAGGGTCTTGCTGAGTTTGGTAGGCTACACTCCAAGGGATCCTCCTACCTCTGTTTTCAAGGTAGCCATGACTACCAGCTCATATCATGGCACCCCACTAAGAATTTGGGTTTTTAATTGGGTATGTGTCAGTGTGAATATATACCATTCGTATGCAAGTACCTAAGGAGAGCTAAAGAAAACATTGGATGCCCTGCAGCTGGAGTTACAGGCCATCATATGCTGCCAGTGTGGGTGCTGGGAACTGAACATGGGTCCTCCGGAAGATCACAAGCACTCTTAACGATCTTTCCAGCTTCAGGAAATGTTTACAAACAGTCAAGTTATTTCAATGTGAATTGACATTAATGATGACCCAGGTTCTTTCCCTCTGTTACAACAGCTCTCCTTAGTATGCTGGTTTTCATCCCCATAGGAGTTCAAAATAGTGGTAGGAACTCCCTTGGAGCTAGTGACTCTGACACCTTTAGGGTTCCATGAGCAAGGAGTAGAGAGAAACTAGAAAGTGATCCATGAATACTAGAGCCAGGCTGTCGAATACTAGTAGCCATGTGTGCCATTTATGTTTAAACTTAACTACAATCTAGAATTCAGTTGCTCAGTCACCCTTAACCATATTTTGGGCACTCAACTGTAACCTGTGACTCTGGTTGCCGGGTTCTCTGGCAAAAAGAGTGGGGGCAGAGCCCAGAATGGCTGGATTCTCCCTGGGGTTGAACGGGGATGGTGAGTGTGGTCACTCAGCCCTCCCCCCTGGGCACCAGGAAGAAACACACTCACTGAGTCCGGAGTCTGTCAAAGTAGGAGCTCGGTTAATGGTGTCAAGCAGGGACTTATATAGGATTGTGTTGGGGGTAGAGAAGCCTGGGATGGGCCAAGGTGGAGGAAAAAGCAAGGGCCAATAATATTCTGCCACATTAGCAGTGGCTGGGCAGAGGCAGGCCTAGGTTGGTAGCCAGAGACAGGTCTCCAAACTCGAGCAAGGCTCAGGAAGTTACACTAGGCCTCACCAAACTCAAGTTAAGCTTAGGAAGTTACACTGGGCCTTATGCTCAGTCCTCATGAGGCCCAACATATGCCTTTTTGCTTTTATTAAGAAAGAGAACTGCCTTGCCCTGGGGTCCCTCTGAACTGCAGGGGGCTGAGGGATGTGTGGATCTCCAAGGAAAAGAAATCAAGGGAACCATTAGTAGCCAATCAAATAGAAGAGAAGTACTTAAAACGCGAACTAAAGCTATCTTCATGTTCCCTGCCCCCCAGCTCTTGGACATTTGTCTTATGGGAGCAGCTGAAGAACAGGGCATGGAAGACAAGGGCAAGATAGAAGAGGCATTAAGAATGTTTTAGCAGTACTAACTCCTTCTACCTAAGGAGGCCGAGATGGCCTCATCTGTGAGCATCTGACATGGACCAGCAGCAACATCTGGAACCTTCTAAGCAAATGGTGATGGTTAGCACCTGGTCCTCAGTCAACACCAGGATTCATGCCTATCTCCCCTAGTGTCTACACTTAAGAACAGCCAAAGAGCACAGGAGAAAACAAGGTTGGGATCTGGGGGAAACCAAAGACCCGATGTTCTCTTCCCACCATGCAACAGCAGAGCAACCCTTCAATGGTGTCCCACACCTCCAGCTGACTGACAAAACCACCAACAGGGTTTAGGCTTTTGGACTCTCAGAAGTAGTCTAAGAAGGAGTCAAGTCACAAGGCAATCAGGATGGTCCATTTCCTGTTTCCTGTAAGATGACTCTCAGATACTTCCCCAGCACCAAGTCTGCCTGCACGCTGCCATGTCCCACCATGATGATAATGGACTGAACCTCTGAACTGCAAGCAAGCCACCTCAATTAAATGCTTTCCTTTATAAGAGGTGCCTTGGTCAGGGAGTCTCTTCACAGAAATAGAAGCCCTAACAAGACACACAGTGACTGCTTTATCCACTGATCTCTCAGCTCCTCATCCCTTTGTGGGACGAGGTATCAGGTAGCCCAAGTGAGCCTTGAGTTTCTGATGATCTTGCTTTTACCTCCCAAGTGCTGGGATTACAAGAACGTGCCATCATGGCCTGGCTTCTCTATTTTTCAACCATCACAAGTGATTGAAGCCACAACCTCATGCACGCTAGGTTGGTGCTGCGCCATTGAGTTAGATCCTCCATCCTCACTGAGAGTTCTAAGGACAATGTCTGCAAGCCCGACTCAGGCCAGTGTCAGAATCATTGTCACTGTGTGCTGGTAAGCAATCCATCAGACACAACAAGGCAGCATAGTCTTGACAGTGTGCCTTGTTATTGGTGTCTATTAAATGAAGCCCCCACATCATTCATGTTCACACATTAGTCTGCTATGTCTGCCATAACAAATCACCACCAACAGCAAAGCTTAAATAACCAAAATTTATTTTCTGGCAGTTCTGGAGAGCTGAAGTAGGAGATCGAGGTATGAGGTTGTCCGTTTTTTTCCAGAGCTTTCTCTTCTGAGTTGTCAGTGGCCACCTTGTTCAGGTGTTTTCACATATGCTTCCATCAGTATATTTCTGGGTCCTCATATCTTATGGGGACACTGGTCTGCTGTATTGGGTGAGGACCATCCAAATGATCTCATTGTGGCATTACTTAAAGAAGCTATCTCCACACAGTTGCATTCTGGGGTCCTGTGGGTGAGGGGATGACTCTATGACTTCAGAAAGAGCACACTTTCAGAGCATCTTATTATCCCAAGTGCTACTGATTTCCCTGTCCTTACGGATGGTCACACTTTTTTCCACGTGTGTTTAGAATGTGATTCAACATGCTTCTAGCCACATAAAGAACAGCATGGGCTCTGTGCATGTATTTACACTTGTAATGAGCTGTTCATACACAGAGGGAGGTTAAGAGAGGGCAATCCACCTGCAGTCACAAGCTCAGAGACAGACAACACTAGGGCAGACCCCAAGGCAGGCTGGGGTCTTCACAGACCCCAGTCTGTGAAGCCTGTGTCGGGCTGTTCTTACAGCCATGGCTGTTTGTCTTCTTCTGCCTCTCTCCTCTTTAGAATTCCACAGGAAATCGTGCTTTCATAATAGAATACTTTTCCTTCCTCCAGACATCAGTGTTGAATCATACAGCCACTGAGCAAAACAGCCCCGCAGACTCCCACATCACCCTGGTCTTGAAATGCTTCCTCCAAGACGGTTGAGCCCTGGTGGCTACAAGAAGAGCTAGGAAAAGCAGGGGTCTTGGAGCGTGGCTAAGACCATGTTGTTGCCACTTATGCAATTCCTTTGTCATGTGGGTACAACAGATGCAGCATCTCTTCCTGTAGTTTGCAATCCCAACACCAGGTGGAGAAGTGAACCCCACGAAGGAGACAAGTTCCTGAAGAAAGTCAGCCAGGCTCCTGCCACCACAGGGACTCCTAGAGCCAGAAAACAGTAAGGTAGGTAGGGCAGTCTGGGGTCAAAGTCCAATGCGCCAAGCAGATCTGCAACCCCCTGCCTCCAGTGTATGTCCACACCCACCCTGCTCCGGAGCCAAAGCAAAGAAGACAGAAGAGGCAACCGTGTCTACAGTGTTATCACTCAAATGCACTCAGTAGCATCCTCTCACCTCAGCAACACTTCGGACAGACGTGACCTTTGGACGGAGATTTCAAAGGAAAACCCATCAGCAAATTCAGGCATAGGTGGGGTTGGAGGGAAAGCTAAAATGCTTACAAGGGAAGTTTAGTGATCAAAGCTGCCCCCAGCTCCTTCTTTAATTCTCGAAAACGGTGGTCGTGCACAGCCCAACTGCAGGCTGTGAGTTGTCCTCTCTCAGGAGCCTTGCTGCGCTGTGCACCCCTCTTGACACCTGCAGCATCTTTCAGACATCTGAACGCTTGTGCCTTAGTCCTCTGAACTACACTCGGGGGTGGTCTCCATTTCAAAGAGCAGCAGTTTGGGCAATGCTAGTTCCTGGGGCTGGTTTTATTTAACTGGTTGTGGGTGAGGTTTGGTGGTGTTGGGGGAGTACTTTTTAATAAAAATGGCAGAAGGGCTGGGAATGCAGGTCTGTAAGTGGGCACTTGTCTGGCATGCTTGAAGCCCTGGGTTCAACCTCTGGCACTGAAAAAAAAAAAAAACTGGGGGTGGGGGAGGAGTCGGGGGAACTTCCAGAAAACTACAAAGACAAAATTAATTGTAAAAGTAGCTGTTTAAAATGTGGAAAGAAATCCCCATAGTTTACAAATAGCTGATAGGCATAACAAACTATAAAAAACCCATACAAATAATAATAGTTGCATTAACTTCCTGACTTCCTGACATGCCTCTATAATTAATTTCTATACTTTTGGCTATATACTCTTTGCATTACTTCATGTAGCAATAACTTTGTCA